CAGCCACACGGTGCTTCGGGAGGTGCCGGAGGCTCTGCAGGGCCTGGGTACCCAGTCCTGTGTCACGGTCACCGTATAGGATCAGGGTGGGTGTCTTGGTAAGGGGAGAGAGACAGCCAAAGCAGTTGTCAGAGAGGGAAATGGCCACCATAGTTCCCCTCTGGGTTCCACTCATCGCCACAGGCGGCACAGGTCCCCCTCACTCACCCCTACAGGGCCACCCTCCAGCCAGCTCCTGAGGCTCACCAGCACCCAGGGACACCCCAGGACTTGAAGGACACACCTCACCTGGACCTGCTGGTACTGCTCAGCAGCGTAGTCCTTGGTGCCCACGGGTGCAATGGGCACAAAGCCAGCCAGCCGGTCCCCCTGTGCCAGGAGGAAGGGCAGGGCAAAGCGACCGCTCATGGAGGGGCTGACAAGAACAGGCCTCTGCATGCCCAGCTCCTGGAGGACGTGGTCCAGGAAGGCCACCCGGCCCTGCGCCGTGGCCACCGTCTCCGCTGGGGGCGAATCCCCATAGCCTGGCATGGAGCATAGAGCACAGAGTGGGTGCAGGGCAGGGGGCTTGTGCAGCCTGCAATGGTCTTGCACCCCAAAGTTCAGCCCGCTTGGCAACAACCGGGCACCCAATCAAGTCCCGGCAGTTGTACAGCAACTGGGGCCAGCTGCACCAAGCCAGCCTCAGCCAAAGGGTCTGGGTGGCCATAGCGGTGAAAGCTCCGGGGGAAAGCCAAATCCCAGGCACACTCTCCTAGGGACCACGTCTAGCTCCTTAAAGAGGTCCACAGCCCACCAGCAGCTGAGACAGGTGCCTGGAGCTGGCCAGAGGGATCAACTCAAGCGCAGTGCCATAGCCCTACCCGGCAGATCTATCGCGACTGCACGGTAGCCTTCTCCAGCAAGTTGGGCCAGCTCGCCCAAGGCCTCCCACGTCTTGGAGGTGAACGCCTGGCCGTGCAAGAACAGGACATCGGGCCTGTGGTGGGAAAGACAGGTGCGGTTTAGGGAAGATGCCATGCCTGCAGACATCCACTGGCCATCAAGGCCAGCAGGGATGGATCCCCAGGGCCTATCTCCCTCCACCTTCCTCCATCCTGACCCACCTCCCAGGGCTGGTGGTAGCACCGGCCCGGTACTCTGGGGAAACCTCCCTGTAGAAGACAGGAGGCTCTCCCTCAGCCATCCCTGTTCGTGCAGTGGTGTTGGCCTTCTCCCGGCCCCGCTCCCCCT